AGGTGACGCACTGGTGATGTAATAAGGGATAAAAAGGTAGGGGTCGTCTATCATAACTTATAATAACGGGCTAAGGGTTGTTTACGTTTGTGTGTGTGTGTGTGTGTGTGTGTGTGTGTGTGTGTGTGTGTGTGTGTGTGTGTGTGTGTGTGTGTGTGTGTGTGTGTGTGTGTGTGTGTGTGTGTGTGTGTGTGTGTGTGTGTGTGTGTGTGTGTGTGTGTGTGTGTGTGTGTGTGTGTGTGTGTGTGTGTGTGTGTGTGTGTGTGTGTGTGTGTGTGTGTGTGTGTGTGTGTGTGTGTGTGTGTGTGTGTGTGTGTGTGTGTGTGTGTGTGTGTGTGTGTGTGTGTGTGTGTGTGTGTGTGTGTGTGTGTGTGTGTGTGTGTGTGTGTGTGTGTGTGTGTGTGTGTGTGTGTGTGTGTGTGTGTGTGTGTGTGTGTGTGTGTGTGTGTGTGTGTGTGTGTGTGTGTGTGTGTGTGTGTGTGTGTGTGTGTGTGTGTGTGTGTGTGTGTGTGTGTGTGTGTGTGTGTGTGTGTGTGTGTGTGTGTGTGTGTGTGTGTGTGTGTGTGTGTGTGTGTGTGTGTGTGTGTGTGTGTGTGTGTGTGTGTGTGTGTGTGTGTGTGTGTGTGTGTGTGTGTGTGTGTGTGTGTGTGTGTGTGTGTGTGTGTGTGTGTGTGTGTGTGTGTGTGTGTGTGTGTGTGTGTGTGTGTGTGTGAATCTCTGTCTTTCACGAAATTCGTAGAGCGTGTTCCAGCCAACGTCCTGAGCCCAAATTTTGCATAACGCACGCTAGCAGCATGAAAGCTGACTATGCGAAAGCATGAGCGGATCCGTTGAGTGGATCCATTGAAAATTGCGCGTCAAACGGATCCACTTGCCTTCTGGCCAGCAAATTTGGGTCCGTAGTACTACTTTTTGCAGAGTTAAGAATAAATTTGACAAGCTATTGTGCAAGCCATGGACGTTAGCCTAAAAAAATAATGAAAAGCCTACTAATTTACGAAAACAGCGCCAAAAAGCATTCGCTGTGTAAACGGTCAATTTTTCAAGATTTTACCTGATCATTTGAGAAGATTTTTGCACAGAGATGTAGCCCACTATGTTTATTGTCCTTACGGAGACTGTCAAGCCATAAAAATTCCAAAAACCTATTCGAATTTGCAACTGTTCTTCTGGGAATGATTTTATCCACGCGAAAATACCGATCCCACATGGAAAACGTCTACGAATGAGTAGTTGTTTACGAATTATTCGTGATAGCCTACATAGTGCGGTGAGTTTCATTGTCATTATTATGCGGGAATGAGTAAGGCATGCAGAAAATAGGGCCAGTGCGAGCTTCTGCGAAGCAGAGATGACACACTGGTAGATAATAAACTAGTGATATAGCTTGATCATCCAGCCTTTTATGAGCTGTTTTAGAAGACCGTTGTTACTCAGACAACTGACAGGGACTTCCGCAAAACTTTGCAGCATTTCCGCTGGGTCACCTGCGGAATCCCGCATTTTTGGAGAGTGCACTGTCGCAATGGTTAAGAAAGTGCTGTGGAACAGTTAAAAATTCTGCATGTGCTGCGGAAGTTTCGATGACGTGTCTGAGTGATAATGATCCGGTCCAACGTAATATTTCTTTGCACTTTCGTTATTTTCAAAAATTGTAGTAGCACAAAAGTGATCTGCCACTTGTTCCCAGCCAGTCGGGCTCGACCAACACAAATGAATTTAATTATCCAAAATCACAAACTGTTATTAGAAGAATCGTACGCGAGTTCTTTCATAGATTTGGGGATGCGAGTACAGTTTTCTTGAGGAGGCGTCTCTTCTGAAAAGTTCACAATAATACAGAATCTTTTGTTTTTTACACAGCAAGTGCGACCTATTTTTGCAACGCTTATGTTTAGATGAACAAAGAACTTTTGTTTTTGGCATATCTCCAGGATTGCTATTGAACTTCTACTTGAAACTCTAAACTTCCACTGCCTTATTATTACTGCCAATGCCCAGAAGTTTATAAAAAACCTATAAAAGATGGAAAAGAGGTATAAGAGAATTTCTAAAATATCTAGAAAAAATGTAGGTTGTGCCCTTATAGAATTGCATTTATATTTACTGTAAGTGAGGGTATATATGGTGCCAGCGTATAGCCATTTATCCCTTTTTCATTATGTCAAATATGAGATCTTGCCGAATTCGCTCAAGTTTTCTAGAGGAAGACGAAGAAAGTGTAGAAAACCTAAATAACAGTGTGATAGATAAACATTTCTATGAGAGGTTAAAGTGAGGAATAAGTTTGGTGAAAATCTGAGGTTGTCTGGAAAACAAAAACAAAAAATTTGCCGATAGTAAAGGGCTGGTTCTTAGAAACTCAGACTAAATACTCTTCTTTACAACGCGAGAGATCCTCATAAGCACTTGAAAAAAGACCCAGCAACAATAGATCCATGAAAAATAGGGGAAAATTTTCCACCAATGATTTTTCTGGAAAAACAAATTGGTCACATAGGAGTTGATCGGAAAGCGTACTCAGTAAAATCAATGAGTTAACTATTTTTTGCTTCGTTTTCAAGTAATTTATTCCAGATTTAATTCAAGGTTCGCTAACTTTCTGCAATTACCGTAATTAAATTGCATTGACACCTAGATCAAAATAAGATCAAAAGAAATATGTTAATTACAAAATCTATTTTTTGGCCTAATTTATGGTTTAGGATGTTTCTCTCCACTACGTAACGCTGACTCTCTGTGTTCTCCGCTGCATAAACAATTCTCCCGTTGCAATCGATAATCAGCATCGGAGCAATTAGTCGCCAGTAGTTGTCAGAAAAGCAGATATCATCTCTTCGAAAGCGTTTAGATAGAAAAATAGTGTGAAATGATCACTGATAGAACAATAGTTTGAAAAGTTCAAAATTCAACAAAGGATATTATCAAATGCTAGAAATGTATTCATTTTGAAAATTCATAGCAGCCTTGCAGCCTCATTCAATTCAAAAATGGTACTTTTCCGTTATCCGGATCCTTTTTTTCAAAAGGCTCTCGTACAATACTTTCTTTAGTCTGAGAATAATTTTTCATAGATTCTACGAGGCAGGGCTCGGCACGAGCTGGCACCAGGGAATTTTGAAAACGAAGTCCCCTTTGAAATTTGCCAATTTTTACGAAGTCCCCCTTGACTTTTGGGAAATTTTACGAAGTCCCCTTTGATCCTCAACGATATCCCCTCTAAAATCCTAAAAAAATCCCCAAAATCCCCCAAAAAACGAAACGTCGACTAAAAAAAAAAAAAAAAAAAGGTCGTCGCCACCAATTTTTCGTATGTCTTCGCCCACAAAAACGAAACCCCCTTTGCTTTTTGCCCCAAAAACGATATCCAGCTTGCCCCGTGCCAGCTGGTGCCAGGCCCTGCTACGAGGACTGCCTCCTTGCCACGTGTCACAAAAAATTGACACGTTTTGTTCAATTTGACATGTTTTTCTCGAAATTATTTCCAGTGAGGTAAAAGAAATTTCGTGATCACCTTAGAGCTGTTCAGTTGTTTTATATAAGAGCAAAACAACCATGGGCTTATTTTAGAAGATCTTGCTTGCTTTAGTGATTCAAAAACTCTTTCTATTTAAACCCTTTTCGCCATGCAATTTTAGCCAGAAAAGGAAATGATATCTCGAAGTACCTTGCTGCTGCTTATTTAGCCTCTTAAATGACGGATTTCTAGCGCACTTCTCTATTCTGAGCAAGCTTAATCTGTTCATCGATGATGGTATATCGATATTATTATGACAATGTTTACTTTAAAACTGTTTGATCGAAATGAGGTCAAAGTTAACCAAAAAACACATGAACTTACATCAGTAGGTAGGGCAACAAAAACTTTTGGTAACACCTGTTAAAGGTGTAGATGACATGTCAAATTCTTTCGACATGTGGCAGAAGGTTGACACTCATTCCTGTGAATTTGGGACAAATATGGCACAAGGTCAGAAGAAATATCCTTCTTTGAAAAAATAGGTCCGGATAACGGAAAAGTACCCAAAAAATTATTGAATTCGTGAATTTATAGTATTACAATTTCCAGCAAAAACTATTAGGTGAATTCTTCAAAAAGTTTTTATAAACTCTTGCTTCAATAATCTCACCAACCTAAAAATTGTTGAACCCGATAAATTATTTTAGATTGACTATGTGATGAGAGAAACGCCATTCTGCAAGAGCGAGAGGGAACACAAACATTCGAGTTTTGGCATTTGGCCAATGGAAGGAAACAAATTTTTAATCAAAAAAATTTTTTTGTAGTTTTAACTTAAAGTCTTCAAAAAATCTTAAAATTTTTGCTAAGTTTCGAAAAAATTCTCTAAAAAAATTTTCTTGATTGTTAGTGAAAAGGGGCTAAGAACATCCCGATGTTCCAGTTTTGCTGTAGTTGTTATTACCAAACAAATGGTTTTCTTTGATCAAAAAAGTTGATTTTATTGCAAATTTACTTCTTCTGTTTCAATATATGAAGCTTATTTCCTGTACGATAAAATGTTGCTTAACTATTTTTGCTGAAATAGCCGCATATTGTTTTCAAGAAAAAAAATTATTCATCATTATAGCATTCCATCGTATCGAGCCTCGAAATTTGATTTTTACTGTCCTGAACTTTGATTATCTCTGGTTTTACCCAATAGGTCAAACTCATGGAAATATACAAAAATCGAAAAAAATAATCACTCTATAAAATATGAAAAAATGGACATAATGCAGCTTTTCTGCTTGGTCCAGGCGAAAATCGTCGTTGGCAAGGTAATTTATTAGTTTTTCTCAGGCAAATTTGGTCTGACCTAAAGCTCTACGTTTTTCATACGCTGTCAATCCTTCCATCATATATTTGAAACTCAGAATATTAATAGAAACCTTCTTCTTAGTCCTCTTTATCACTGGTAACGCCAATTTTCCCGCCCATAGTGGGGGCAACATTGGGGCGGGGGTCGCGACGGGGGGACTCGACCCTCGCTATTAGGCCGGCGTTCTCCTGACGCGGCTACACACCTCGAGTTCATTCAGCCATGTCTGACGCTGCTCCAGTTGCTGCTTCTCCCGTTGCTTCTCCCAAATCTTCACCCAAGAAGACTAAGGTACATTTTTTCTTGGTAAATATATTCTTTACTATCTAGTTGTATTAATTTCTATTATATCTGTGCTTTTTTCAAGGCCACAAAGCCGAAGGGTGAGAAGAAAGCGAAGGCCACGTCAAGCCATCCCGTATACAGCGCCATGATCAAGGCTGCCATTAAAGAACTAAAGGAACGCAAAGGTGCCTCAAAACAAGCTATTCAGAAATATATCATCCAGAAGTACAAAGTTGGAGACAATGACAAGCAGGTAATTGAAATTTTTCTTTGTATTTTGGCTGCAAAATTTCAATTTTTCCTTAACAGATCGGTTCCCGTATTCGGATGGCTCTCAAAAAAGGAGTTACTGGCGGTACATTGATGCAAGCTTCTGGAACTGGAGGATCTGGACGATTCCGTTTGGCCGACAAAGCTGAGCCAAAACCCAAGAAAGTCGCTGCTAAAAAATCTTCATCTACTGGAGCTGCCAAGCCCAAGAAGACCTCTTCCACAAAGCCAAAGAAAGCCACTGGTACCAAGACGAAAGCAGCTGGATCTTCCACGCCAAAGAAGGTAAGAAAGTTTTTCACTTTTTGGCTTTGTTTATACAGTAGCAGACGCGCTTGGCAATGTGCCAATGTGTGTCATGCCGCGAACGCAAATATTTGAACATTGTCGGGGAAAATGCATTTTTTCTAAACTTATTATAGGCTTCCTGTATTATTAAATTTTATGATTCTTTTCCAGACCAAGTCTGCATCCAAGCCCAAGTCTCCCAAGAAGAAATCCACAGCATCCAAGCCCAAAAAGACGAAATCCCCCAAGAAGGCCTCATCACCCAAGAAGAAGACCACCACCGCCAAGAAATCCACGAAGCCCAAAACCCCCAAAAAGCCATCGGCTAAGAAAGCCACCAAGGCCTAAGCACCACACTAAATACCTCATCTACGATCTCATCGTGTATATATTAACCCGTTGAATGTGTGTATTTCTGTGTGCTTACGTACCTACCTCTTCTCTCGATCGATCACAATTTGCCTTTGGTTTACGATGGAATCGAACCCGTAGCAATGTTGTTTTTTCTTTAGTACCAGTTCCAATTCTTATACGAGTCCTAAGGACATAATTGATGTAATAAAGAATTGAAAAGAAATAGTTTTATAGACATTGAAATCACGAAAGGACAAAAATAGCACTGAATCAGAAAAAATACAAAAATCTGGGAAAAATAGAGAAAAGTGGCAGTAAAATCAGTTTGCAGTTTTATACCTTTTTGAAGAGCTTATACTAATTCTATGCTCCGTATCAAGGGTCGGGAAAAACGATGGAGTTTTCGTCCCGTTTCCTTTCATCATTACAAGTTTATTTTTTGTTTATTTTCTTCAAAGAATATCCCAAAAATACTTGGAGGACAAAAAGGTTAGAGTCTCATGAGCGTTGAGCTTAGCCCTCCCCCCATCCAGTAATCCAAAATGTTTTCAATTATATCCCCCAACAGCCTCGAAAGCCTACCAAAGCCCTTGTTCATACGGTAACAGCTGCGCTTGGCATCGAGCCAATCTGCCGCGTCATGGCGCGAACGCAAAATATTCAAATATCGCGCTGCCGGGAGAAAGCGCTACGACAACTGTGCTAAGGTCATCGCATGAGGTCAGCGACATGCTGTGAAGATTTGACAATTATGTAGCGTAACACAACGTACCAGTATCGATTGCTAGGGATAGGGAAGGGATTGCGGTAAAACCGACTTTCACCAAAATATTCCTGTTTCACAAATGTGGTGCAAGCACTGAGAAAAGAGACTGTCGTAGAACCAGTTGCTAACAAAAATTTAATTTCACATAACTTTTTGTTGTGACCAAAGGGCAATATTACGGTATGTTTAGGAAAATCGTTTCCCAAATTTTTTGTGTGGGAAAAGGAAGGATTCCGGTCAAGGGTACCCAAAAAATTGCCTTTTTATGTGGCATTTTTTGTGGTATCTGGAAGAAAATACGGTAAAATTGGATTCTGTAACTACCGTTTCCAATGAATTTCTGGTGCGATCACTGAAAAGAGCAAAAATTAAGGTCAACAGAATCTACCAATAAATGTGTTACACATGAATTTTGCCGAAATTTTTGGGAAGAGAATTTATGGTAGAACAGAACTTCTGATGAAAAAAATTGCTGTTTCATGTAAATCCTTCGGTAAAACGCTGAAAAGCAAAAGGTAATAGAAATCATAAAAACTCAAACATTGCTATTTCTTACATATTTTTCAATGTGAAAATGAAATAATTGCTCTAAAATTGGAGTGCTACCGAAAATTTGCGGTTTCATGCGGACTATTTGGTGGTATGATGGCGACACACAGCATTCAGAAAAAATTTCTGTTTCAAGTGAGCCGTTTGATGGATTACGGTAGCATCGAACAACTGCAAACATGGGTTAAAATCGCAGATTACGGTAGGATTGGACTACAATTAGAACTTCCTGTTTCACACGAGCTATTTGGTAGATTACGGGTTTATGGATTATTTGACAGATTACGGTAGTATCAAACTGTTGCCAGAAAAATTGCTGTTTAATATGGATTATTTGGTAGAATACGGTAGCATCGACTACAGTCAGAAAAATTGTTGTTGATATGTGAATATTTCGTGGATTACGGTAGTCGAAGTGTCATGGGGACATCTGCTATTTCATATGAACTTCTTAGCTGAAGTTTCACTGATACAGATCATTAGTAGTAATTACTCAAATTATTCATGCCAGTCGTATTCTCATCGCCCATCATTCACACTCATCCTCTGGGTCAAATCTTTCTCCTCTGGTGTCACTTTTAGCACCACTAATAACAACGAAGTTTCCCGCGCTAAATGTGACCCGACGCTGTCGGCAGAGCATTAATTCTTACGCCATTCAAGCTCGCTGAATACATAAGCCGACCCTTATGTCACCTGTTGGGTCACGGTGTAGTGAGCACCTGCTGAGAGATGCGCGTTGCGTCAGAGCAAAGGGAGCAGAAGCAAACAAACTAATTCTCGCTTGGGACCAAGAGGAAAGTTTGGACGAGAATTTTGAATGAGAAGGAACATAATTGACCTTGTATGAATTTCAGAGAAAAATTTTGAAAAAATTTGATATTTTTTACTTGTAATGGCTTGTCTTCATAAAATTCGTCTAGAGTTGGTCAACAATATTTCTTACGCCTTGTCTCCACCGAGTAAATTTTACAGAGTTATTTAGAAATTTTTTGCAATGCTAATCCTTTGAAGCTGCAGAATTTCAGCTGGTATGTTTCAGTTTAGAAAAAGAAAAATCGTCAAGAATAAATAGAAATTTCTAACTAGACATTATGATTTTATTTGTGATGAATGACTTATAGATTTTGTCAAAGATTCGAAAACTCTCACAAAACTTAATCTCAAATTTTTTATGGCTCAGAGCCGCCTGTATTTTTGTTTGGCCATTCAGCAGACTCAATTAATTTTATCTCCAAGGATGAGTTGTAAAAAATAACGTTTTATTCATACTGTATTCGTATTCTATAAAATCCTGGTTGTTTGAAAATGTCAGTTTATTCAAAAAAAGACCCCGGGATGTTCTGCTACTTAGTTCCTGAAATGAAGAGTATACTAAACTTATTAATCGTTTCTTCAGCTTATATGACTACGTCAAATTTTGATATGACTGAAGCTGGCATTGCGAGGACGAATTTCGAAACTCGCGAAGCTAAAAATATAATTTACAGTTGAATATACTGTAAAATGCATCAAATGGCTCATAACAGAGCGATTCCACACAAATTTGCAAGATTTTTGGGGAACTGTCCATCTCGGATTGCTGGGTTATAAATCTGGCAAAAAAAGGAATATAGCTTTTGAGGAGAAAATGAAAATATCGAACAAGTAAAATTTATGTAAACCCTTAATGCCCTTGGCAAAAAATTGTCCGAATGCCTATTACAGCTCAAAAAATTCAAAACGAATTATATTTCTACTAGAGCGATTATTTCTAGTACATTTCTACTACAGCGATCACTTATATTCACAGTATTTTTATCAGATTCGCCTAGAAAGTACAAGCGTATCACTTCGCTGAAATAACCGTCGTATATACGAATGCTCTCCGTTGAGATTGATCACTGGCGCATACCTGAGAGGTGTACGGCGCAGGGCCGGGGCCCCCGTGACAGACCACATGAAAGGTATCTCTGGCTCCTTTGCATTTAACCGAAAAAATCTTTCGCCTTTTACTAAAGATTTCCGTGCAAAGGTGCATTTTATGAGTATTGAATAATTTTTGGAATCCCCTCGGAAGAGCGGGGTGCAAGAGTGGATTAAAACTGGGACAAGCAAGTGAACGCTTTCAAATTACAGTCTTAAATACAAGTGAATTAGTAAGTAGAATTATTGAGAAGTCCAGTTGTTGTCCAAAAATCCTCGTAAAATCTTATTATAAAATTTCTTCATTAGTTTGACTAAACTCAGAAAGTTGAAAGCGTCAGTTCGGTGTGTTGACCCTCCTAGTAGTAGTGAATCTCCGAATTTTTAGAGCAAGTCTAATCTTTCATCCTTTAAATAGATCCTAAGAAGACTTCTGGATAATCAGGGTCGGTAGTAAACCTATCGAAACTCAGAGTTATAACTCAGAGTTAACTCTGAGTTATCTCTGAGCTAACGCGCAACTTTTTGACCCCTTTAACAGGTGTTTGAACAGATCAAATCCGGAAAGCGATGATATGGCAGGATTCTCCTTAACACGTAGTTTATTCTCAGTAGCGCAACATTGTCCAAATCGTCCTGCACAAGAAACAGCGCCACCAAACGCGCAACTAGTGTCTGCGATAACTCTGAGTTTGGTGCGAGTTCCAGTCTATCGTGGAACTCAGAGATAACTCTGAGTTTGGTCAGAGAAAGAGAAATAGCGCGCAAAAGAAGAGGGGCAGCTAAAAAGTCCTCCGGGGTACATTTTGCTCGTAGTTTAAGCAGGCATGATGGGGGTATCGTGGTGCGCAGTGATTTACAAAATTTTGAAATTTTGTAAAAACTTGGCCCAGGGGGTTATTCGGTGCGCTGGTCAGGCATATGGTACCCATTTTTCACTATGGGGTCATGTAGAGGTGTTACGGTAGGTTTACGGTAGATGGGAGAAAATCACGAAACTGATCGAAACTTGGTACACTGGGGTTATTCGGGGCGCCGATAACGAATATGACATGTAGATTATACTGCAGTGTCATCTGACGGGGTTACGGTAGCTTTACGGTAGATAGGAGAAAATCACGAAACGATCGAAACTTGGTACACTGGGGTTATTCGGGGCGCCGATAACGAATATGACATGTAGATTATACTGCAGTGTCATCTGACGGGGTTACGGTAGGTTTACGGTAGATGAATTAAAGCGGCGGAATTAGCCGAAATTTGGTACACTGGAGTTATCGGGATGCAGATTACAATCTATCTGCTACATACACTGGTGACATATGGAACGGTTACGGTAGGTATACGGTAAGTAAGGCGAAATCATGGAAGGGCAAACTTTGCCCGGAGGATTTATTCTGTGCGCAAATCCTAATAGTCAATTGTTATCATTGCGAATGCCATCCGCTTTCTCTATTGTTTGAAGCTTTCAGCTGCGCAAAAGGCCAATCCTCGTGATGAACCATCACTGCCCGATAGAAATGGAAATGATTGAGGCTTTGGTATAACTTGTTTTGACCTGCTAAGTGTTAATGGAATGAGTGAGTACATTATGGCAAAGCAATTTTAGGGTTCATGGGTGTGTCATGGTCTAGCGGTTTAGTGATAGGATGTTTACGCTAGACCATACAGGTTCGAGTCCCTACTTTGAAGTCGCTTTTGCAGCAAAGTGCTTAACAGCTCCTCAAAGCAAAACTCCGAGCTTGAGAGTTGGAATTCGGATTTACGAAAGCGGAACTCAGAGTTTCAATAAGCGTAACTCAGAGTTTCAAAAACGGAACTCAGAGTTATCTCTGAGTTAACGCGGAGCTTCAAACTCGGAGTTTCGGCCAGATTACTACCGACCCAGGATTCTTATCGAGTAAACTAGGACATCATGACTTATAATAAGCGGCTTAATCTGAAGTTGTGTGGAGTTTGTCCGTTACGAAATTACAGTGAGGAATGATTTACGAT